TATTGTTCAACCCATGTTCGTAACTATGCCTCATTGAAAAATATAAACAGACATTTCTCTGTAAATTATTCCATTTATTCTTCTGTGTCAGTGATGGATATAGGTAGTGAATAATTCTACTTGCTGTCTAGATACTACATCTGTTTGATTGGTTTGTTATTTGAGAAACCCTTGGTACTCATGTTATAGGGCAGGAAGAGGGGTGCCCAGAACACTGAAACCTGCCTGCACTAAATAGGTTCTGCCATCCACTGTTTTAAGAAAAAAACATATTCTAGAGCTTAAGACCTTCAATGAAAAGAAAGTTTAATATAATTAATGTGTAACACAGAAAAGGGGATGAGTATAGTTTCTATATTAAGCACCAAAAATTACCCATTCCCTTGGGGTAAATGCCTAGACAAACAGGGTTGGCCCCAAGCAGGGCCACTGAGGCCTGAAAGCCTACCACCTGCGTATCACCCAGTCCACGGCCAAGAAACAAGCACAGTTTCTTCATATCTCTTTGCTCCATGTGCCTCCTCCAGGTCTCTTTCTAGTTCTCCTGCTTTCTTTCTTTAGTCTCCTCTCTAGATTTTTTTTCCCTCTCTGCTCAGCTCCACCCCCTTGTGTGGGGCAAGGGACCTGGACCCTGTCACACTCAGGTGCAGAGGTTTACTGGGGGAAAACTCAGGTTGGTAACACAGAAATTAACAGGCAAATAAAGAGATTTGGTGAAAAAAAATATATACCAGAGGAAAATGGACTAGAATGTACTTTGGTAATCAACTATAAGGTAATGAATGTCCAATACATACATACATATATACATACACACACACACACACACACACACATACACACATACATTATTTATGCATACAGAACTGGGATACAGGCCAGAGGTGCAGGGGCGATGAGAGGATTCACCAGAAACAGAGTGGGGAGCAGAACAGGCTGACTAATGAAGGGGAGCTGAGGGTGGGTCAGGAGAGGTCTGCCATGTGGGTCACCTCCGGGGTGGGGATGGAACTCATGATGAAGTGGTTTTAGCTTCTTAGTACTGTGCTTTAACCCGCTGCACCACGAGGGAGGACCCTGTCCAATAAATATCTTAACTCTTCATTTAAAAAGTTTTCCCTTTAAAAATATTTAACTCTTATTTTGTAATGCTGCAGTTGTTGATTAGCTAAGCTCTTAAACTTTTTAAATCCTTTCCATGTTATTCGGTCCATTTCTTCACTTATATTGCTTTTTTCTGAGTTTCTCTAAATGGTGTATAGTGCTTTAGAGGCTTTTCATCTTATTGGCTATATATGTGTGTATGTATTTATGCATACACATACAGAACTAGTTAATATCACTAGTTGTTTTGCTTCTCTGTGGTATTAGTGAGTTGTATATAATTTTATCCTTGCTTTCTTTGCTAAGCCACTTTTACTAAGTTTTTCAGAGTTAATAGTCTGAATTCTTATTAGCATTTTAATTGCATTTGTATTATTTTACCTTAGATCTACCTGTCTTTTATTTTTATTCATGGGTTTCAGTAACCTTAGTTTAATATCATACATACATTGAAACTTTTCATTTCTTTGAGAGAAATTGACCTTGTATCGGTCTGTTGCTCTCAGTCTACTAACCCCCTTTGAAAACTTAGTGTTCCTGTTTTTGTGGAATTCTCATAAAATTTAGATGGGCATTCTTACTCTCCCTGAAGAGCACGTGAACACATGCACACAAAAACACACAATTCACAAATGCAGGTGCAGAAGGACAGAACATGACAGCACTAATATTTTTTTAAAGATTTATTTATTTATGCATACAGAACTGGGGTACAGGTCAGAGGTTCAGGGGTGGTAAGAGAGGGTACACCAGAGACAGAGTGGAGAGCAGAACAGACCGACTGACTAAGATAGCACTAATATTTTAAGGATTTTTGAATGTGACATTTCAGAGTTAAGTTACTTCTGAGAAAAAATGTCTATGACATCCCCTCCGCTTTGGGGAATCCTAATTAACAGACAAGACCCCTATAATTTTTTACTACCAAAACTGAGAATTAGTTATCTTTGGAATATACTCATATGTTTATAAATAATGAGTCAGTAGAATGATGAAAATTAAGGAGTAGTAAAAAGACTTAAAATATGATCTGCAAATAATCTATCATGTTATGTAACATGCTTTGATAATCATGAAGTACAATTATTTGGTATATGGTCACAAAGCTTTGATATCTATGGTGTAGGAATAATGGACAGATGGAAGCTATGAATGTGTTTATCAAAAGCAAAGTCTTTCTCTGCCATTAAAATGTTAGAAACAAAGTCATAGAAAGTACAAATGAAAAAAATCTTATCAGGCGCTCCCTGGTGATGCAGTGGGTTAAAGCACTGCACTGAGAAGCTAAAGCCACTTCAGCATGAGTTCAATTCCTTCCTGCCCCGGAGGTGACCACATGGCACGGCAGACCCCTCCTGACCTGCCCGCTGCCCCCCTCAGCAGTGTACTTCGTTGATCTGCCTGTTCTGCTCCCTACTCTATCTCTGGTGAAGCCTCTCGCTGCCCCTGAGCCTCTGGCCTGTACCCCAGTTCTGTATGCACAAATAAATAAATCTTTTTAAAAAAATTCTTATCAAGATTTTCTTCTACCAAAAAATTGAAAGTATGAGTGTGAACATTTTGACCCTGAATCTTTGGGCTGATAATTTCATAAAATAAGTATTTTTATTATGAACCCAAAGCAGAGAATTTTGTGGTTGCTTCTTTTATATATATATACTTATCAGAATTAATTGAGGCTATATAATAGCTCTGTGTTCTTCGACATTTAAAAAAATATTTCAAAGTTGTGGACATCCTCTCCAGAAAAAAAAAAATGAACATATTATATATTCTACTTTAAAAACAATCAACACACTCACCACTTTTTAAAAAATCTACACAAGTGTTTCCCAGTAGTCTTTGGAATGGAAATAACAGACTGATAGTATATGACACTATAACAGACTGATTGTATATGACACTGATAACAGACTGATAGTATATGACACTATTGACTTCAGGATCTATTAGTAGAAATTCTCCACTTACTTAACAAAAATATCTACAAGTTTTTGCTGTCATTCTTTCATTTATTTTTATATAAATTCACAACAAACTAATTTCATAGAAGTACAGCTACTTCAAATTTTGTGATTTATCTTTATAAGGGATTTATTTCATAGTTGTATCATTTCACACTGATTGCTGGGCCCAAGATAACACATGAGCTTCAATCATAATGTCTAACATTATAAATATATTTCCTTTTTGGTAAAAAAAATCTGTTGCTAAACGATTTTTGGTGAAAAAAAAATAGTAAAGCATAGTTTCCTCACTTGTTACTTATCTGTCACTGACTATTGTTGCCACACAGACAATTCTTTAGGCTTATTGTGCAGGAGGAAAAGGAAAATTGAGTATTGCCATTTTATATATTTTTTGTACATAGACTTAACCTACTATGGGCATAGAGATACCCTAGGATAATTTGCTTTAATATTCAGGGAAGAGAGATTTTCAGAAGGAATTTTTATCTTATCACATATGTAGTAGCAGAGTACACATTAGTATTCATGCATCCCAATTTTCAGATTCTCCCTCCTCTCTCCTCTCCCATTTTATTTATAACAAGCAACAACTTCTGATCTGAAAAACAAACTACAAATTGTTCTTTTTAGAAATCTAAACAGATCTAGTGCCTGTAGATTCAGATTAGATTAAAACATGATAGGTATGTAACTAGTTGTTTGAGATTGAACAGCTTAACACTTTTCTTAAATTTTTGTCTCAAATTAGAATACTTATATAAAGCATTATTATTTTCTTTTACATGAAGGCTGTATTCATTCTCTTGCAGCAACTTGAAGTATTTGTTGCTTTGGGGGAAATACATATTCTTTGGCATCAAATAATTAAAATTGCAGCCACTTTTTTTCTTTTACAAGCTGTATTTGTAGACACAAAGATAATTTAGTGATTTGTTTTCCACTTTAATTGTGGAATAGGGAGTAATTTTTATGTAGAAAGATCTATCAAAGTCAGTAAATCTTTTGTTATAAAACAGTAGAACTGTTTTTGTTATGCATTAACAACAAAATCTTTCCATCATTTTTAACAAATAAATTTTCCCTACTATAAAAAAAGCTAACATATAGGTGTCATCATTCCCCTCACACACACCCTTTTTTGGACACATTAGGTACATAGAAGATAAATAACTTGAAGGTATCAGTGAACACTAGGACTTGAAAATGGCACTTGAACTTGAATAACATCCAGGGTCAAGGTAGCTGAGATCTATCATCTTTATTTATATTCAAGTTCCTAGCATCAATTCTAGAAGTTTTATAACATTATTTTTTAAATATTACTGTGAACTAACTTTATTAATTGAAATCCTCGTAGTAAAAACTTATTTACTCTTAGAAAATGGCCTTAGGCATGCTCCTTTATATTATTGATTCAGAACAAAGTGTTTGAAAAAGCATATAAAGACATTCGGAGTGATTGTTATGTACATGGTGTCCAGCTTGACAATGGTACTTTCTCCTTTTTATAATTTATAAAGCAAAGTATAATAACTCCTAGAATGGAATTTTTCTCCTTTGTAATAAGCAGTTTTCATCCAAAGGATTTCCAACATTACCTTTCATTTTATAATGTCGAAGTGTCAATATAGTATAAAAGTCAGGACACATTAATTAGTAGAATAGGTCATGGAACTCCATATGATAATGTAAATTTCCCAAACATCCATATTTTACAAAATTGAAATTAAAATTTACAGTACATGGAACACTTTGAATTAAGTGTGTTTTCGAAGTTGAGTCAGAGAAGAAAGGGGTGGGTTGGAATTATTGAATGTGTTGTGGCGGGGTAGGTTCAAAGCAGCCCTTTATTATGAATAGAAAGGAAATTTTGACCTGGGCATTTAGGTTACATGGTTCTTTCCCCCTTTTTTTTGTTTGTTGCAGGCAAAGGGGAAGATAGTGATGTACTCAGTATAAATGCAGATGCTTATGACAGCGACATAGAAGGCCCATGCAATGAAGAAACCACTGCTCCTGAGGTCCCAGAAAATACAGTTCAAAGTGAAGCTGGGCAGATAGATGACCTGGAGAAGGACATTGAGAAAAGTGTGAACGAGATTCTGGGACTGGCAGAATCTAGCCCAAAGGAACCCAAAGCAGCCACCCTGACTGTTCCTCCTCCAGAAGATGTTCAACCGTCTGCACAACAGCTGGAGCTGCTAGAACTTGAGATGAGGGCGAGAGCCATTAAGGCCCTCATGAAAGCTGGCGATATAAAAAAAACAACCTAGTTATTTAACTTGAATCTGTACTTGAGCAAAGCCATGTCATATTTTGTATCTGAAGTTTATTTTGGGTCTTTTATGATATTTCACATGTAACTCTTATTTGATAAATTCATCTTAGGTCTGAAATACCTATTTTTTTGTTGTTGTTGCTACTTTTCTATTGTATGTGCGTTACTTTTTTATGAATTCATGGCAAACAGCTTTGGGTAGTCTAGATACTTTGTTAGGCGAGTGTTTAGCTATGTCTGCAAGTTAAAATCCACAAAGCCATTAGCAAAGAGTCATGGCATTTTGTTTCTTTATTCTTAAATGTTTTGCCACCAAATCTAAAGCCAATAAAGATTACCTAAGCATGTTGCTCTTAAGGCTGCCTATTTTGCAATAGAATATTAAAATTATTGCTTCTAGATTTGTTAACAATTGAAACCAGTTTGTTATGTTGCACTTACAACTATGTTCTGTCTTGAAGATGCTTTCTAAGAGTGTGGATTTAGTAGTAAAAACTGCATAACAATTTTTGTTATAAGGCTTACAGAGCTGAAATGATTGCTTAAAAACTTTTTATTAAAGAAAAAAGAATTTATTATAAGGCCATTTTTTAACAATGTAGAACTAACTGCCCAGCTTTAATTCCAGCAGACAAATCATTCTAACAGATTATTTGATCTTATTGGACACTTTGTTCAGTTTTTTCCTTCAATAAAAAAGGGGAACACATTTTCATTTACATTCCGAGCTATCACGAAAAGAATATTTGATCATACAGGCTTTCATCTGATGTTTTTGCTTGAAGATCTGATGTACTGTAATTCCATGAATTAAAAATAATAAAGACTATCATTCTGGATCTGGAGACTTTTGATACATTTCCAAAAGCAAAATTAATTTCAGGAAGCTTTGATGAATTGATGTTACAATTAATCTAATTTTGTATAGTTTTTGTAAATAAATTAACATCCTGCCACAATCACAGATGCTTTTTGCCCCATCACTAATTGTAGTTGTTTGATATCAAAATTAATTTAGGGTATAGACTCTTAAAATTAATTAGTTTTTTTTCTAAAATATAAACCTGCAACTGTTGTTTTTATAATTGCTAACAAATGTAATATATTTCATTTATAAACTATGCTCCACTAATGTTGTCTGAGCATTTTCCTCACACCTAAAATTTGCAGGGATTGTGTTATGTTAACTGGCTTTACTACATGTCAATTATAGAGGGTTCCTTGTGGAAACAGAGTATTTGTGAAACATTGGAATTGTGGTTACAAATTCATTTTGTTGTTGCTCTTGAACATGCCTTGAAATAATTCTATTATTTTTCCCCATTGAATTTTTCTAATGAAATACCAATGCCTGTATCATTTGAATTGCTTCTCTTAGGCTGGTAAATGCAGATAGGGTTTAAATAGTGAGTTCTCATTGTTTCTGCTTCAAGATGAAAAAACATTGATATGGTAAAATAATTTTGCAATTCTGAATTAAACTAAAAGTTAAAATAACAATGCAGAATAAATGTTATTGCTGCTTCTGAATTATAAAATGTCATTAGCATTTGTGTGATTAAGCATCAGAGTAGAAAAAGGTCTGAGTGCTTTGTAGCTGATGATTGTCACTACCTTCTTGAAGCATCATGTCCTATTTAGTGTGTAGACTGGGTTAGAGTACATTTGACTAAACTGGGTATGTGAGTGAGAATGAACTGAACAAATTAAAGGCTACTGAGATTTCTACCTCGAAAAATCAACTTTTCGTTTTTATTGGTTTTTTTCCTACTTTTTAATGGTGAACGACATGAGATCTTTTTGAAAATGAATGGTTTCAGAAAATAGAAATGTTTGTTTTAGAAATGCCTACGTATGAGAAAATACTATATATTGATCTGATGCTATCATTTAAATCATCAGCTCACACGTACTTATTGAATACCTCTAAGGTGTTCAGTCTTGTTCAGAATCTTAAACTCAGGGATGGCACAGTATAGATTTTAGCATGGAATAGACTGATTAATAAAGATGGATGCTGCTTCTTTATTCCAAATTCCTCCCTTTTGCCAAGCTAGAGAAAATTTCTAGACAGTGATTCATTAGTAATTGAAACAGGAAAAAAAAAAAGCAGCGTAATTATTTTTTTTAATTGAGATAACATTGATTTACAACACTATATGATTCACAGGGATCAAATCACACCTCCACAGATGCTTATCACCACATCACCCCCACCCCCAGGCACCTACAGTCCTTCACTATAGTCCATTGTGCCTCCTCCATGTTTGTTTTACCCCATATCCCAAATCTGTAGCCTCAATTCCTCAAATTTCTATGTTTTTTTGTTTATTTTTTACAAAAAAAAGATTCCTCAAATTTCTATGTTTTTTTGTTTATTTTTTACAAAAAAAAAAGATTGTTTATTTTTTACAAAAAAAAGATTTATGCATACAAGAACTGGGGTATAGGCCAGAGGTGCAGGGATGAGAGGATTCACCAGAGACAGAGTGGGGAGCAGAACAGGGAAATCAAAGAGAAATACACTGCTGAGGGGAACAGAGGTGAGACAGGAGAGGTCTGTTGTGCCACGTGGGTCACCTCCCTGGCTGGGGATGGAAGTTGTGCTGCAGTGGCTGTGGATAGCTTCCTAGTGCTGAGCTTTAACCCCTTGCGACACCAGGGAGAGCCCAGGTTTCTAGGGTTTATTACTTTGTTTTGTTTTTCTGTGTTCTACATAAAAGTGAAACCATCCAGTCAGTATTTCTGCTTTTCTTTCTGACTGACTTATCGTTATCCTTTCCATTTCCATCCATGTTGTCTCAAATGTAAGAGTTCATTTTTTTTTTTTTAAGATTTATTTATTTATTCATACAGAACTGGGTTACAGGCCAGAAGTGTGGAGGGTGAGAGGATTCACCAGAGACATAGCGGGAAGCAGAACAGGCAGATCGATGAAGTACACTGCTGAGGGGAGCAGCGGGCGGGTCAGGAGAGGTCTGCCACACCATGTGGTCACCTCCGGGGCAGGCGGGAATCGAACTCATGCGGAAGTGGCTTTAGCTTCTTAGTGCAGTGTTTTAACCCGCTGCACCACCAGGGAGGGCCAAGAGTTCATTTTTTTAATAGCTGAATAGTATTCCAGTATGTGTATATACCATATCTTTTACATTTTTTTTTCCAAGGGACTGCTATATTGTTTTCTAAAGTAACTGCAGTAGTTTACATGTTTACCAACATGGCATGAGAGTTTCTTTTTCTCCACATCCTGGCCAGTGCTTGTTATTTCTTGGTTAGGTCAAATTAGCCATCCTAACCAGTGTAAGGTGAGACTTCATTGTGACTTTGATTTACATTTCTCTGATGATAATCAGTTCAGACTATCTTTTCTTGTTTATTGACCATCTGTGTCTTCTTTGGTAAATGCATATTTAGATCTTTGCCCATTTTTTAGTTGGGTTCTGTGTTTTTTGTTAAATTATGAGTTTATAGATTATGGATATTAACCCGTCTGGCATATAATGTGCAAATAACGTCTCCTATTCAGTAGGCTTTTTTTTTTTAATGATGGTTTCTTATGTTGTGCAGAGATGTTTTAGTTTCCTATAGCCCCATTTATTTTTATTCTTTTGTTTCTCTAGCTGTTGGAGATGAATTCACAGAGACATCACCAAGGCCAATGTCCAAGAACTAATCTAAACCTGTTTTCTTCTGTGTACTTTATGGTTTTAAGTCTTACATTCAAGTCTTTAATGTATTTTTTGTTCTTTTAAAAACGATTTATTTATGCATCTGAGAACTGGGGTATCAGCCAGAGGTTCAGGGGGCTGAGGATTCACCAGAGAGTGGAGAGCACAACAGGCAGGTGTATTGAAATGCACTGCTGAGGGGAGCAGTGGGTGAGACAGGAGTGGTCTGCTGTGTCATGTGGGTCAGCTCCTGGTCAGGATTAACTTGTGCTGCAGTGGCTGGCAGTAGCTTGATGGTGTTGTCTTTTTTTTTAAATTTTTTTTAAAGGATTTATTTATTCATATAGAACTATGGTACAGGCCAGAGGTACAGGGGCAGTGAGAGGATTCACCAGAGACAGAGAAGGGGGCAGACAGGCAGACTGTTGAAGTACACCGCTAAGGGGAGCAGCAGGCAGGCCAGGAGAGGTCTGCCATGCCATGTGGATCACCTCTGGGGCAGG